TTAATAAACAGACCCTGGTCATGCATGTTTAAAAATAACAATAAAAGATGTTAAAACTGAAGCCAGATAGCCTCCCACCAACACTCCTCTCTAAGTAGGAAAATTTTTCAGTGAAGGCACTAAACTTGCCAAGGTCTTTTTATTCAGCTGGCAGGTCTCAGCAGCCCCCTCTGCTTGCTATCTGCAGCCCACGACTGTGCTGCAACCCAAGCATCAGGACCGGACAGAAAACACTGTCACATTAAACCTCCTTTGTTTCAAAAAGTCCTTTTCCCTGCAGAAATTGGCATCGATCTAAACACAACTGCTATGGGATTTTTTTTTTTTTTTTTTTTTTTTTTTTTTTTTACCCCTCCACTCTGCTTATGCCCTGGGAGAAGGGCTGGCAAATTCCCAGAGGGGAAAAAAAAAAAAAAAAAAAAAAAAAATCACTATTTAAGTGAGAGGACAATGGAGGTGCAGGAACAAGTTTCCACTTTTAGCTTGAAAATGAAAAGCCCGTTTCACGCCATTAGAGTGGTGAAGCTCTGGAACAGCTTTCCAGTAGGAGGTAGTGGGGGCAAGAGAGAGAACTAGCTGTGAGGCAGAGACCCATCGCTCCACAGAGGGGATGGGGAGATGTTGCTGCGGATAACAGCTCGAGGCAGGACCCAATGACTCAGTCATTTGTCTTTCTGATCTGTGTTTTTAGGACCGGTGGTTGGATAGGGGAAGAGGAGGGTTGAGATCAAATCCTTTCAGTGCCTTCCTTTACCCTGAGCAAATCAAGCAACCCCCAGCACTCCCGTGTCTCCCTCTAATCACCACCCTCATTTCACGACATCAAGGGAATGGAAAAGCTTCACCTGCTTTAGAAATTAGAAGATGTTGGGCCTGCAGGAAAGGTGTTCACAATCACCTCAGCAACACACCACCCACCCTCAGGCTTTTATATATCCTGTTACACCAAAATACCAGATCTACTCAGCTTTGCAGAACAAAGCTCCAACACCAGGCTCCGCTCCATCGCATGCCTTCTGCTCTTCCTTCACCCCTCACCTCCTCTGAGCCTCGGGCACTAAGGCTGATGTTACCCAGGGTCCATGTCCCTATAATCCATCCCAAATAGGAAAGATGAAAACGATAAAAACAAGCCATGTAAACTGCTGCCGGAGGGTTTAAACTGCAGGATCACTTTGATGGGATTTCCATTTCTGTCTTCAGAGCCTCCCTGTCCTCCTACAATGTAAATGATTCTTGCTCCATGGAAACACAAGCTTAAGTCATAGAAAAATGGAGTAAAGAGAGAAATACTCAAGGTCTTGTTATGCCCTGAGATAACCATCCATCTCATGATGTGAGGAAAGATTGCCTGAGACAAAGAATCATTTAGGAAAAAGAAAAAAAAAAAAGGCCTAACTGCCACATTAGTCTTGAAGAAAAAAAGATTATTCTAATACATGGAGAGCCATTACACACCAGCAATTCAGCAAGATTGCTCAGTTTGCACTTAAGACTGCATTTACCATGCTGTCTTCACTGTGAAAGCACATCTTTAAACCCACCAGAACAAGATGCAAACCAACATCCAGGACCCTGACTCCAACACAGAAGTATGTCATGACAAGAGATCCAACACCCCAGATAATGACTTTAGTACAGTGGCTCCTACCACAGAATTCAGTCTCAGAGATGTAGCTAATGCAATTTCATTATTCATTACAGATGGATGACATTTTTGCAACTGAAATATCTTTTATTCAATACATTTCATTACAAATTAATGTTTTGTAAAGATACAATTAATAAAAACCTAACTAGAAACTTAAAAAAAAAAAAAACCAAAACCACAACAAAACTGCAAGTGAAAAATGTAACCTCTCAGGCTTTTTTCCACTCTAGTTTTCAGTTTCTAGTTTTGCATTCTTTCTGCATTTCCAGCTGTTGTGGCCAGGGCCACCGTAAGCCTGTTCTCCCTACCTGAGACATGCCCTCAAAATCTGGGAGGAGTTTTTGGAAGCTCTGCTTTTGTACGAGAGATTTTTTTGCCATACACACATACTGGTCCTGTGGACGACACAGATCTGACCCTCCTGAACATCACATCCAATACCATGTTTTGCCCAGCTGCAAGTGTACATACCCTGTTCACAAACCAGGAGAACACACATCTTGCACATAGCAGCCTTGCTTGCAGGACTTGGCCACTTAATTAATTCTCAATCACGATTAAGTGGTAAATTCTGGCACAGCCCCAGGCAATCAGCAGGTTTTGCCTAGGTCTCCCCAAGGAGAAGCAATGACCCTTCAACAGATGAAGTTACACAGCCCAGGAGGAAAAGCACTGCCTCCCCTAATGCTCTCCATCCATCCCAAGCTTTGATTTTTTTTTGCCTGGTCACAGCTTAGCCACAGCAATGTCAAGCTGTGAGCTCTTTTGCATCAGGAACCCGGGTTTTTGTTACACGAGTACACAATACCTGGGACAAGCTGTTACTTCAGGGATATGGCTAACTGAGCCTCACCCAAATGCCAGAACAGTAACAAAAGAAAATAACCTTTCTTGACAGCAGGGAAAAAAAACAAAACAAAACAAAACTTTCACTGACTGGCTAATTTCTGAAACAAATAATTTCCAAGAGCAAAAGAAAATCCAGCTGGCTTCCAAATACACAAATTTGTGCAGTGACTAATAGAGATTTTTCTCGTGTTATATTCGTGACCCAATCTATTCTTTTTTATCAGCATCCCTGAGCAAAATACCCACTTCTTACCAAGGACCCTGTATTAACTGTGGATCTCAGGGAGAGGAACACACCCACCTAAGAAGCAGCAATAATAAATCAGGGATTCTGACCTTTCTCTTACCCCCAGCTGTACCAGATCAGCACTATGATGATACACACATGTGGGAAATCACAAGTACACCCTGCTTTCCTTATCTTCTGTTCATTCCCCACCCTCCCTTCTTTCATTCTCACTTTTTCTGCTTTGTTGCTTTTCCAGCATTTAGCTGTCCGTCCAGTTCCACCTGTCACCTTTATCTTTCTGTGCATCCCACTTCTCAGCAAAGAACACACTTGCACCCCATTCTGAGGGCTCTCTGGAGGCTTACCCTGCATTATCTCATACCCAGAAAGGCCTGGCCTGCCACACCTGCCCAGGATGAATAACAGAATTCAGCCTGAATATTTTCTGTATTATCTACAGACACAAGTTATGTGTCTTAACTTATGTTAAGCAGCCCAGGGCATCTCAAGTTTATCCTCACTCCCAGGTAGACAAGCATATTACAGCACCATGAGTAGCTCTCATTTGCCAAAGAAACTGAAGCAAAGTGATCACTAAAGAAATTGGGTTGACGAACAGAGATCCAGTCCCAGGGAAGTAATGCTGTGACAGTTCAGAAGAGAGGCTGGATGGTATGAATATAGCACATCTTGTGTTACAAAAGACACTGGCCCAAATTCTCCTCTCAGAGTTTCACATTCACCAAGACATCTCTGCATGCAAATGTCACCAAAAGCAAAATACAGTTTTGTTGTTTTACAAGCCCATTTGAAGCCTTTAAAAACAACCCTCTTTCCCTGCCATGAACTATTTTACTGACCTACAGCTTCATCTCCATTCTGCTGATGCTGAGAAACTTCCCATTTTGCAGAGGGGCTTTATATCACACACAGAGCAAGGGAGAATTACCCCATGGATCTGAATGGCCCAAGCTTGTAAGGTCTTCTCTGGGAAGGGGTAATTTATGCAGACACCTATTCGGTGAGCCCAAGCTCAATAAGATACCTCAAAGGTGGGTTGGTACACTTAGACAGTAACACCCGCCAGGAGATGGGCAGGAGGAGGCAGAGCAGTGCAGCGCTGCAAATCTGTTCGCACTATGCAGAAAGTTCTTTGTCCTTTCCAGCCAGGTAGCGGGGGACACAATGCATCCAAAAGTGAACTGCAGTGTCCTGAGATGTAGATTAGGGACATAAAACCATTGGTAATAGTACGAGCTAGATGGTGGTATCCAATAATCTTGAAATCCTAAATAAATCAATAGCTGGAAATATAAGGTTCTGCTGAAGTGTTGGGTTTTCTTTAACCTATAGAATGACAGGCTGAAAAGGACATCCTTTCTCTATACCTCTTCAGAGCCATCCTGCCCAAGCTAATGCAAATTTAGGTGTTTCTATATAGTTGTTTTTGGTTTTTTTTAAAAGACTTACTTGCCATGCAATTTTCTAAGATGCTTCTCAAAGGCAAGTCCCACCACACCATGCAGACCCTACTCAACAAGAGCAAAGGCTCTCCCATGCTCACATCCCGACCACAACAATTCACCATCCAAAGGGCAAGGAAGATGCTCCTAGCTCAGATTTTCTCCCCTCTGCCCACCAAGAGGACTAGGGACATTTCGGCCCCGTCCTCTGCGCGGTGCAAAGCAGTGCGCAAGGCCGGTGCCCATCGATGGCTCCGCTGGTCAAAGGTTGGTGGGCAGGATGCCCAGGGCAGTGCCTCTGGTTCCCCTCTGTTTGCTCACGGGTAGGGCAGGAACAGCGCTGTTCGCCAGGGGACACGGAGGACAAGCCGCCTCCAGTAGCTCCGGGCACCCCGCCGGGCACAGCCCCCAGCCGCCCGGTTACCGACACCGGGGCTGCACTGCAGACCGCGGGGACCCGCCGGGGATGACATCAGCGCTGCCACGGCCGGGCGAGGGGCCGGGCTGGGAGGGAGAGAAGGAGGGATGGGGCGATAGCTCAGCCGGGGCTGCTCCGCGGGTACCGCGACAGCGCATCCCCATCCCTCCCCCCTTCCCCGGAGCATCCCCGCTGCATCCCCTCCCCCGGGGGGATTGGGTGGTGGCGGGGGTGGTCGGGTCACCCCTCGGCGTGGCGCAGCCGTGCCCGGAGAGGGCAGAACCCCCCCCCCCCCCACCCCGCCGCTGCCTCCGTTCCGAGCCGTTCCGTTCCGTTCCGTGCGGGCAGGTGCGGCCGCCGCCCGCTCCCCCCGCCTCGCCCTGCCCTTACCCGGGGCGGCGCAGTCGGCGCACGCCGCGTTGCCCGGCCGCTGGAGCAGCTCCACCAGCGCTTTCCTGCTCCTCTCCTTCGCCATGGGGGCGGCGGGCGGTGCGGGGCTCCCCTCGGCTACGCCAGGTTCATGGCGCGGGGCGGGGGCCGCTGGCGAGGCTGCTCCATGCGGCCCCGCTCGCCCCCGCCAAGGTGAACGCCTCCGATAAGTAAAACCGCAAAGGTTTTACTGCCCCGGCCGCCTCCTCGCTCCGCCGCTACCGGAGCCGGAGCTGGAGCCGGAGCCGCCCGCCCGGGCACGGCGCCGGTTCCGCCTTCCGCCGGGCCCCGGGGGGGGGGGGGGGGGGGGCTGGCGGCTCCCTGCGCCGCTCGCCCGCGACCTCCAGCGGCCGCTCGTCGTCGGGCTCCCCCCGTCCACCGTCGGGGGGTCCCCCACTCTCAGGGCACCCCAGCCCCTCCCCGGGTGTCCCCGGCGCTCCCCAGCGGTCCTTCCCCAGGTTTAACTCGGGGCTGCCCGGCGAGGGGATGCGCTCGCTCCCGGGGGTGGGAGCTGCCGTGGCAGCGGGGAGGGTGGGGGACAGGAGTCTTCGTGTGGGGGAGGTTGGGGCTCACAGCACCCCAGCCTTCACTGGGTGAGGCCTCAGCGCTCGAGCACCTCAGCAGGTTCACGAGCAGTGCTTTTGTGGCGCCTCCTTAACGTTAGCATCTTTTGGGGGGGTCTTCATAAACATTTAACTGGTATCCACGTGCACTCCAAAATGCTCCTCCTTCACCGCTGCCCTTCCAAGTGCACATCACCACCACCTCTCATGTCTGCGCCTTGGCAGGCTTGTCCTCCAAGCATCTTCCTGTTTTTTTCACACCCCTCCATGGTGTCAAGGAAGTATCAGGGGAGAAAACACCCCTGGGGCAAGGTCACAGCTTCCCTGTGTCATCAGGGCGGTGTTGCTGAGACCAAGGGCTGCAGCTGCTGGTGCATCTTGTGTCACCTACAGGGGCAAGGCTCCTGTCCTTGCTTTACCAGCTAAGGACTAGAAGGTGACTCGGGGTGATATGGGAAGTCTTTGGTCAAGGAGGGGGTGCAGAGCTGTGCCTTGTAGGCTGCTGCCTTAACTAACCCCTGCTGAGACCTCCCTCTCAAGTATGGGTCACAGGCATCTGCGATGCTGCTATGGCTTATTTGTGGTTCATACAGCTCTGCTTATAGAAACGTTTTTGGTTTTGCAAAGCAAGTCCCCCATTCAAACGGTCCATCTTTGCTTCCTCCAACAAAGCAGAGCACCCACCCTCCTGCAAAGCTCAGCTCACACTTCATGCTCCCCACGAGGGTCAGGGTGCTCACGAGTGTCTGCAGGAGGAAGGTACCAGTAGCTCCTGGAAAACTTCCACAAGCAAATTACCGTCTTGGTCCTGCGAATGTACGTGGCTGTGAGCAGGTTTCAGGGAACACTTTGTGGGGGAAAATAGCATATACCCTTAAATACAGACAGAATTACGGCCTGGTGCATTTACAATGTCCCCCTTGCCTAGAACATGTTTTCCTATGTGACCTTTGCATTTGTGCTCTCAGACAGGTGACTATAACCGAGTTGATTTTTGACTGTTTTAAACTGATATTGGCCTGTTCCTTGCTGACTCTATGCAGCATTACACATCATGCTGGGGTTTGCTGGTTTTACACAGGTAGGCTGATAATGTCTGAAAACTCATTCCCACGCTAACCAAAGGCATAATCCCACACACGGGCCTTTTGCAGAGAAGTTGAGCTGCTGTATCCAGATCTCCACCTTCTTCAAGCCCCAAGTCATTAATACTAACCTGGAGCAGAGCACTGACTTCTAACATCCACTGAGTAAAACCAGCTCCAGTATCTTAGCTCTCATCCTCCATACCCATGCCATATTCCAGCTTGTCAGTGTAAATGCTTACTGGATCAGAGCTTTACCTAAGTCCAAGGTATGTTAGGTTTTCATTTGAACTCTGGCTTTTCCAGAATATGCAATTGCTGAATTCCTCATGCGATAGCCAGGATTCTGCACATCACCATGAACTTACCGAGGGCAGGGACTGGGAGGAGGAAGGGGGATTGGTTAAGTCTCTGTTTAGCTTTCCATTAAGACTTATTGATTCTCTTAATTTTTTGTTCTCCTGGTTGCTAGGCAATCCCTCTCTCTCCTCCGCATGCTGGAAGCCAGGGCTACAGACATAAATTTATATCTTGTAATAAAATCAGATATAACAGAGCCTGTTGTCAATGATGAGAGGGAAGTAAAGGACAGGCAGAGCAGGAGAACAGGGCCAGCAAGGGTTGATCAACAGTGGTCCTCAGCATTTAAGTACCATCCCAATTACTCCAGACTTCACACTGGGAAACAAACAGCCCATGCAGGTGGAGGGGACGTGGAGAAAAAAGGGAGAAAAGTTCAAACTAAATGAGCCAAAATTGAAGATAAACTTTCATTCGGCGGAAAATCAAAGGCTCAATCCAATCTCAAATATACAAGAGTATCTCCATAGAATTACTCCTGATTTATCCAAGGCCAAGAGGCTGGGTATGGCTCCAGTGTTGATCCAGGGATGCTCTCCTGATGGTCATTGGCTCCTAAGGACTGTGATTCCTGGCATAGAGCAGGGACATCCCAGATCTCACCATCCCGCACAGGGCGAAGGACGAAGGTTGCCCTGGCAGGGCCAGTAGAGGCTCCCGGGAGGCTGATGGGCATCACTGCTTGGGTTTGTCCATGTCAGACTGCTCCTGTCTGTGCCTGCAGGAGCTGACACCTTGTCTGAGCTTTTTCCCCACATTTTGCCTGTGGGTACAACCTGTCAGGGAACACTTAATGAATTTGCTCCTACTTCTCACAAAGTCTCTGGCCAAACTCCCTGGAGACTGGTTGTCACTGTCAATATATCACCCTCATTCACATGCTTTCTGTCTCTCCACTGCTAAGTGCCTTGTTAAGTCTGATATAAATTTATATACATATGTATATAAATACGTACATATTTATGTGTAAAATGTGTTTGTTTGTAAACACACACACTTTTAACTCAGTCTTTTCTAAATCACAAGGTTGTTGCCTTAGAAACGGACATTATTAATGTGATCTCCCCAGGTGCTAAGCTCAGTGGCAGCAAGGGCAACCTCTGGAAATGCCAGACTCTGAGGTCAGGGCAAAGGATGCTCAGAAATTCCTGGAAACCTTTTCATCATCTTTGTGGTGACACCCTGGAAAGGCACAGACATAACTATACCTTCTCCTTACCCTTCCACATTAGCTCCTTTCACACTGAGACTGCCTTGTTTTGTTAGGAAAGAACTGTTTACACTGTTTTTTAGTTAATTTTGCAGCCCCAGACCTGAAATGGCTAAATCAATGTCACAACCATACAAGTAAAAGGGTGTTAAACTCAACCCCTTATGTGACCCAGCAGCGCATTCACAGCATAATGTGGGGAAGCATTACAAATTCCTGTGTGAACAGCAAACCTTAACAGAAATATCAATAATTCATGCCACTGCAACTGCATTCAAGCAAAACTCTCTGGAGGAGTTGACACACCAGGCTGGATCCCTTAGGCTTCCTCAGCACCACAGGGGAGGCAGCTCTTGCAGCTGGAGGTCTGTGTGAACAAGCCATAGCACTAGCCACCCGCACCTATGCTAAGGCAGCTAGTTTCCGCTGCAGTATGGTTTCCTGTTCAATAGGAAAAAAAAAAAAAAAAATCAAAACAACAGAAAAAAAAATCAACCAAAAAACTGAAATCCTAGAAATTCTTCTTAAAAAAAAAATATATTTTCTGGGTTATCCAGTTAAATTAAGAGTGGCTATAGCTGGGAGAGAGGAATGCCATGGAGCAGAGAGCTCAGACCAGGGCAATTAAAAACTCTTGAACTGAAAATCCAATACTTGATGCCAACTTTCTCTGATTTTGAGCAAATTGCTTTATGGACCCTGTGGGATTTTTCTCCTGTAGAACAGGGAAAAGAACACTCATTGCATCTGCATGGTTAGGACGTGTTGGTCAAGTTGAAGAGGATGTTGCAAGAGAAAATGATGTGGGGGTGCAGAAATAACAGACTGAAGTCCTATGTCTGCAGAGCTGCTCTGCACCTGCACCGGCCCTCAAAGAAGAAAAGGCATTGTGCAACTCAAAGTGCCTCACTGCAGAGCAATTTGCAGATCAGGGTTTCATTATATTTGCATAGTGGTTAACTCTGTTGCAAATCTCAGTGTCACCAGTGTGAAAAAAAGGAGATTCCTTTATTTCCATGATTTAATAGCCGTGCAGGTAACATCATGCACACCATGCCATGGAGATCCTCTGTGAGGGAGAAGAAATGGGGAGAATGAGGACAAGAAGGGGGTGCAGAGCAAAATCTCTCTGATGATTGACTTGAACACCATTTTTTTAGGCTTCTGCAACACCCTGGAGCTGAGAACCGCTCTCACAGCTATACCACAACAAAAAGGAAAGTAGCTCTGACCACTTTTCTGGGTCTGCCCATCATGTGCTCAGGACATCTTTTCTGATTCTTCTCCACCCACGGTCTGGCCAGGCCCGCTGTAGCGATGGGCTGGTTTGGGAATCGGTATATGGTCACAGTGGCTGCTTAGTCACTCTGACAGGGTGGTCGGGAGCCAAGAGACAGCCTAGAGAGCAAGGGGGTAATTGATAGCTTGAGGATGTTGGGTATATGTACATCTGCTCTAGAGTACACAGGGAAATCTCAATGCAAGAAAAACTGCACTGCAACAGTCCTGTTGCTGCTGTATTGAATCCATTTCATGCAATGTAAAATATGACGTGGAGGGGGCAGCTGGGGGAATGGCTCCATGGCAGCTACCAGGCATCTGACTGGAGCTATACTGATTTCTATAGCCTAATGATGGGTTCTTTTCTGCTCTCAGAGAAGATGAAATTAGACCAATGAAGTCAATAATTCACCTACACTAATGTTAGACCACTGTTTTTAGCATTATTCCTGATTTATACTAATTAAAAGGCTTAGGCCTAGGGAAGCTTTGTATGGCGAAAACCAACATATATATGAAGAGATACATATGTCAGGGTATCAGCTCCAAGAAAAGCCAAAGTGATTATTCAGAGCAGGCCATCATCAATTCAGTCTGAGTCAGAGACAGCAGCAGGACAGGTTCGACGTGCAAACTGCAGGGCAAGCACTTACCATGGAAATTGCTTTTGCTCAATTCCAATAATTTAATCTCTTCCTGGCTCAAATGGCTCATCTTTCCAGGAACAGCTTGGAGACATTCAAGTAGGAGACTGGACTGCACGATGTCCCG